TGTGGCATGGAGGCTGCACAGCTGCAGAAAGAAAAGCTTTGCAGAGAGTGGTGAAGGCTGCACAGAAATCTGTTGGAATCAGTCTCCCCACCATCACAGACATCTACACCTCCAGATGCAGGAAGAGGGCCACCTGCATCATGAAGGACCCCACCCACCCAGCACACACACTTTTTGCCCCACTCCCCTCAGGAAGGAGGTTAAGGAGCATTAAGTGTAGAACCACTAGACTGAGGAACAGCTTCTACCCTGAGGCTGTTAGACTCATGAATCTCTAACTAGAATAATCACTGTGAAAAACCATATCATGTTGCTGCTGATCTGTTTCATGTTGCTGCTGATCTGTTTCAATGTTGATGTGTTCCTGCATGCACATCTGCTCACAGACTCATGTTCATGTTTGTGCTGATGTTCAATGTTTTATGTTATGAGTGCTTGGTGTATATTTTGTTGATGTTTTTCTTAGTTCATATCTTAGATGTTATTACTGTTTTTTCTTAGACATTTTATTGTTGGATGTAACTGGGACCTTGTGTACATAATTTCGCTCCACCACATGTACCACATGAGGTGCGAATGACAATAAAGAAACTCTGACTCTGACTGAATATAGATTACTAAAATATTTGTTTACAACACCCCTACTAAGTAAATGTCTGTACATGCATGTATAAATGTATCTTGTGTCAAGGTGTATATATGAACATTTGGTAACATTTGCACATTCCTTCTAGCTGTACAAGAACTGCATCTTCTGCTCTAAACATCAAAGTCTATAAAATTCATGTAAATTATGAACTCCTACACTGATGTGGAGAAATGAAACTTTGTTCAATTTTGCCTGGTGCAATGTACAATTCTGAATGACAAAGTTCATAAAGTTAAAGGTAAGTATGGTGAAGGTCTAATTAATATTGACTGCAGCAGAGTTTATTTTTCTTTGCAGAGACGACTTCAGTCAAATGATGCATTTCATTGAGGACGGCAAAGATAATGTTACCAACACTGATATATATTTACCGATAGTCGCAAGAGACACACACAAGAAAAAAAAGTAGTGATAATTTACTCCTGTTAATGAACTTAACACACGTTTCACACGTTTTTGGACTGTCGGAGGAAAACGGAGTACTTGGAAAACATATATTCAAACTCCACATACATAAGCCGCAGTTAGGAGGTGAGCCTGCGACCACCTAAACACTGCTCCACGGTACCATCTTTGGTGAGAACTTTTCCCATACTTTTTTTACCCTTTTTTTGGTTAACGTTTCCCATACTTTGGGAAAAGTATGAAAAAAGTTGAAAAAAAAAAAAGCATGGGAAAGTTTGGGGGAGTGGTGGCGCAGAGGTTAGAGAGGTGGGCCTGTGATCGGAAGATCGCCGGTTCACGCCCCGGCACCGACAACATCAAAAATGTGGGTGCGGTAGGTGAAGCACCCACACCTGCCCCCACCCTCATTCGTCCCACTCTGGGCCCATGAGCAAGGCCCTTAAACCCTCATCTGCTCCCCAAACAGGTCTCTCTTGAAAATGAGTTATGTCTCAATGAGACTACCTGTATAAATAAAGGCTAAAATGAAAATAAATAAATAAATAAATAAATACTTTATCCATGCCGACCTGGGGCTTTGTTTAGGAAAATACACCTAAAATTTGAAAACCTGGTTTTCCCCCCTTCTAAAAACTTAAAGCTGTATGATTTGGTGCTATATAAATAAACTGAACTGAACTGTGTCCTAAAACCCATAAAACACCTAAAAATATGAAATTAACACTGAAAACATCTAAAGCGTAAGCTATACACATTTACTGTAATTTACATTTTATTTGAGAAAAATAAACACATGGTAGCTGATGTCTCCGGTTGATGAGAGATTTGAAGAGTGAATGTTTGTAGTTATGAGAGGAGTGTTTTTTCTGGTCAGGAATTGAACAGGAAATCAAGTACCTAAATGTTTTTGGTGCCAGACATTCAAGTGGGCAGAAGTTACTCTGTAGAGAACGGAGATACCGATAGTTTTTTTGCTGCTTGTCCAAGGCAGCACAGAGCTGGATCTTGGAGAGTGGAGGGAGAAATTTCATCCTTGATCAGGTGCAATGGTGGAGCCAGGGGGTGGCCAATGGTGGCCTTGTTGGCACCCATAGAATAATCTTCAACCACCCCAAGACTTTGATATTTGATTTTTTTTATAGGTCGGTCGAAGCAGATGTCCGCTTGTTCTGCTAAAGGTTTCTTCCCCATGAAGGAGTTTTTCCTTTCCAATGTCGCATTCATGCTTGCTCAAGATGAAAGTTCTGTGATGGAGTTAAACTCAAAGCAGTCTGCTCCTCAGACAAATAATGTTAACACACACACGTATATATATATATATATATATATATATATATATATATATATATATATATATATATATATA